TCTTTCTGAGAATTTCTAACCAAATCTCATGACTTCTCAGTTTGTTCAAAGCTTACACAGTTTCTCTGTGAATGTGGTCATTCAATGCATTGGAATGCTAAATACTGTTTATTTATTTTTAACAAAGTCTTTATTGTTCAGTTTTACCAATAAATACTCTGACTCCATGGTAAAACTGAACAATAAAGACTTTGTTTAAAAAAAAACAGTATGTTGGGGTGAAAACCTGATAGCTCAGAGAGGCAGAAAAAGCTCCCAGCTGACCTTCTTTCTCAGCTGACATCCCAAGAACCTCCTTCTGCTATGCCATCTCCATGAAGCCTCCTCATACTCACATGCCCCTCACTTCTTCTTCCTGGGCTTCCCTCTATCCATCCTCCCCAGGCTTCTCATTCTCTATTTTTTTCTTGAGCATGTTATGGTCAACATGGTTGCTTGCTCTGCTTTTTGACCAGTGGTTGACTTTATTCAATCCTGTTTACAAGTTTCAAAAAGAAAGTACTTGGATATAAGATGTGCACTAGGTCTGAGCCACATCACAACTAGAAACTTATTTTCTTGTAAATAATACAAACTTGTTGTTCAAAGTATGCTCAAATGTTTTTCAATACTATAACTCTGCAATATTTTGAAGGTTGGGATTAAAGTCCCTCCAGTATACAGTCCCTAAGCATTTACTGATCAACTGTACATTTTCTTCTGAGTCTCATCATGGACACGCCAGCTGTTTCAGTGTCTAGGCATTTTGCCAACTGTTTTGGTGAGTTTATGAGACTTACAGGAAAGTCATGAGCCCTAGGGGAGGGACAAAAGCTATAAGTCCTCCTGATGACTCCATGTCCTCAGAGAGTAAGTCTAGCAAATTCTCTCCAGTAGGCAAGCAGTAACAGATGGTGCCTATCTGGATAGCTGTCCTGTACCAGTGTTTTCATATATGAGGTTACCTGATCACCATGGCAACACTCATTAACACTGTTTGCTATCAGTGGAAAAGAGGCACAGAAAACACAATGTGTTTATCTGTCTCAGAGACAATGGGTAACAGACATGCTGTGTGACTGCAATCACGTATCCCATGTCCTCACCCTCAAGGCTTTTTTAGGTGTATATGGAGCAGGAGCAGCTGTTTTTCACAAGCATTAACCTTGGCCATTGACAGCTTGAGATGGCTGTTCTATGAAGTGAAAAGGAATGGAAATTTATATTTGAGTCTATGACAAAGCTACCCATCTCTGGAGAATTTCTGCCAAATTCCAGGACTCCACATCCTACCTACTGGACATAAATCATGTGTTTTCTGTCATGTTGCTATCACTACTCCAGGAAGGCAAAACACAGGACTTTGTTTTGATTCTTATAAAAGATCCTGCATCTAACATGGGGCTCTCTCTGCTCAGGGAGTCACTGATTTCAAATAACTTTAGCATTTGTCTCTCATCTCACTGTAATCTTTAGAGAAGCAATCCTTCCGGGGATTAGCATTATATGCTCGATATTAGTAACAATGGACTCATATGGAGAAAGTCAGAGTCCTAAATTTCTGGTCTAGATCTTCCCAACACATTAATAGTTCCAGTAAGTTCTTGCTCACTATCTTCTACCAGTCAGTTCTGCCTTTGAAAATATTCACCTGAGAGTTTTGAGAGATAGATCAGTGGTTAAGAACTCTGAATACTTTTGTAGAGGAGTCATGTCCTGTTTCCAGTACATCCATAATATCTCATAACCAATCTTTAATTTCATTTCTTGGGTATACAATGCCCTCTTCTGGTTTCTGAGGGAACTGGGCATACTTGTGGTTCACAAATACATATGCAGTAAAAATAGTCATACACATGAAAAGAAAGGAAATAAAAATATAAGGGGGAAAGGGAGGAATGAAGGGAGGGAGGGAGAAAAAAGGAAGGAAAGAAGGAAAGAAAATGATAACCTGCTCAGGAAATATCTTGCTGTGACCCTTACCTGTGCAAAACAGAACATCAGAGGCCAAGACAATCATCCTGTTTCAAGCTCACCTTTAACCCACAATCTTCCCCTCAAAGATTATTCTGTGACTCATTCTTTGAGTTTGGGGATCCATGCATCATCTCAGTCACCATCAAACACCTGGGAAGGTTGGCCCTTGTTGTGATATAGTCTGTTCATTTAGCAGAATGACAGGTCCACTCCTGGCCTCATGTGTGAGGTTTCTGTACAAACAAATCCTGATGATTGTTTGTGGGTGCTTCTCAGGGAAGCTAAATAGGAAATGTTATTTGCTCAATTTGTAGGACTTCTTTAAACATCGTTGCCTTGGAAGGCACTGGCCCAGGCTCAGAAGTGGATATCAGTACAGCAGGAGGGACACAGAACTTTGGTGTAAGGCAGGCAGTGTGACAGTGAGATCCATGAGAGACAATGGTCATCTGATTTCAGGTCCTAGGTCTGTATCATCATGCTCTGCAGCTCAGCTCACACGTGGCAAAGACAGTTTCTCCCACATAGCACTGGAGACCCAACATCACTGAGTACTCAAGTCCTCCTGCATCTGTGTGTGATTCATCTTCTGCCTGGTTATCTAAAGAAAAAGATTGAGGGTAGATGTAGAAAGACCAGCACTGGTTTAAAGAAGCCTTTGCAAGTGTCAGAACCCACAGTAGGACATAATGTCTCTGCTGTCTGCAAAGCATTGCTATCCAAGGCCGTCATCACATGCGGCAATTCTAATCCCATGGTGGTTAAGGACAGTAGCCTTATAATTTCTCTTTCCTCATAACTATACCTGCCTATGTGCATAGAGATAGAAATGTGACACTCAGCCACTTTCTGCTATTGACAAAGACCCACCTTGTAATTTCCGTTTCCTCATGACTATCACTGCCTATGTACAGAGAGATGGAGCTGGGACACTCAGCCACTCTTTGGTATTGACACAGACCCACCACACTGATACCTAGGCTGGACAGGAATCCTGCTCTAGCCCAAGCAAATGCAGAGAAGCCCAGCATTGAATTAGAAGAGTCTGGAGGAACTTTTCTTTCCTAGACATACTCTGGGTCATGGAGACAGGGGACATCTCAGACCTAGGCTCAGTGCACACAGAGTCCAGTGGGATTTTTTGTCTTGTGCCAGTGATGAATCAAAGTCTTATGTATGAAGTACTTATTACATGAATACTCTTCTACTAATATGCACCCCAGCTCTGGTTGAGACCTGTTCAATTAAGGTGGAAGAACAGATAATAACTAAGGTAAAAGAATAGATAATAGAGCCATCTAATCACCAAGATTCCCAATTTCTTTGCAGGCATCATGTGTGGCTTTATTCAGTTTCCTCCTGATGGTTCAAATGATTTGATCATGTCCTTCTCAGATAATCGTTTGTATATACAGTCAAAGCTTGAACTCTTCTGCCTTCTTACCTCTCACTCACCTGCACAGTACTCTTGGCTTATTCATGAAGAGCCCCAGATACAATGTTAAGAGTTCTTTACTCCCAAAATCATTTTTAGTTCTTTAAGATCCTATATCTCCCTTGTATAGAACTCAGCCATTGGCATTAATGGACCCAAGTGAAGAACATTACGAGTCTTGGGAAGTGGATCCCTGAAATGACAACATTGAGCTTTGAGTGAAGCCTTGATCTGAAAGTGCATTTATAGTCTGTTATATTAGTGTCTCCTGTTTTTTTAATCATCCAGGATTTCTCTGTTTAATCCAGCTGTCCTGGAACCTGTTCCGTAGACCGGGCTGGCATGTATCTAAGAGATACATTTGCCTCTGCCTCTTTCATGCTTAGATTATAGGCATTCGGCACCATGCTCAGTTATGTTTTGTCTTTTTAATTTCAAGAGAAACGTCCTAGGACTTTTCCTCTGAAATTTCCTGGGCACAAGGCTCCTCCTGAGAATTCCCTTTCTCAGGATTCACACTACTTCCAACTTTAGTCCAGAGCTTTCCAGGACAAATCTGGAACCCTGTGTAGACCTACATTAGAAGGTATTAGGAGTCTGAAAGAACACAGTGATCATGATGAGAGGCCCTGCACCCCACCTGTGTTGAACATATCAGGGAAGGACTCATTTGACTTCTTATCCATACTTAGTGTAGCCCTGAGCATAAGACTGATGGTTGGTCCCCAGGGGTCATAGCGGAGCATTTGCTCAATGCTTTGAAAATTGTTTTCCTGAGCCATGGCCTAGCAGACTGCTTTCCATTTCTGTCCCTACTCACCTAGAGCTCTCTCCCTAAATCCTGCTCTGACATACTGGCTCCCTCCTTTGTCTGAGAACAACTTTCTGCACGGGAACTGTTAAGGTCTCCTCCCTCCTGGCATCTCTCAAAGGGAAATATATGATTATCACCAGGAATCAATTAATAAAGGGCAAAGGTGACCCAGGAAGATCAGAGAGGATATTTGTACACCCAACACATAAAGTTAGAATGTTGCCTTGAAACCCTCCATAGAAAGATGGGGCCCACAGTCATTTCAAGGACACACAGGCCACCTTTTCAACAACTCTGAGCACGTGAAACTCCTCACACAACTGCCCCTGGGTCTCTCTCCTGAATCACTAATTTACTGGTGACATTAGTGATAAAGGATTGATCTTCATCCCTAATCATCACTCAGCTGGTCTCTTTTCAAGCCTCAGAGACATTTCTGTCACCTTCCTTCAGGGATTAAATAAAAAAGGTGTAGACTGAGTGCTCAGCTCAGTCTCTGTGTCACAAGGTCACATAGGCATGATGGATGCTCCCTGCTTTGTGCTGACAGACCCAAGGCAAGAACAGAGCAGATGTCAGCCCCAGGATGAGCCATTGTTCCTGAGGCCATGAGGATGCTTATCAGCCTTGTTGCACAATTTGTGTCTTGGTGAAGGAACATAAAGGGAAGTTGAGAGGGATGTAGGGCATCACTAAGAGTGGAAGGGTTTGAGCAGTGCCTTGGACTCAAACCCCATCACTCACAGTTCATTAGATTCTGTGAAGTGCTTCTTTCCGAGAAGAATCTCATCCCAGAAGGAGGAAGAACAGCAGAGCCTGAGTTCTGTGTTGGAGCTGAGGTTCTTCTCCTCAGACGGAGGACAGCAAGTGAGAAGATTGATGGAGTCCTCTGTGCTTCTCTGCAAGGGGTGTACCCCGTGGCAGAGGCTTCTGCTCACAGGTAAGGGTACCCAATCTTTGACTGTGTGAGGATGGGAACTCAGAGGCAGACTGGAGTCTCCTAAAGAGGGAAGGATCTTGAGAGGAGACATAAGGTTTCTGTTTGTAGTTATGATACATAACGTACAGTAAGGTACAGAGGCTCAGCATCCAGAAGCTCTCAGAGGACAGGGGGTGATGATGGTAAGAGAAAAGCCTTAAGAACTCCATATTCACAGTGAATTTCATTGGCTGCAATGTTCTGAAGACTGCTGTACCCCATCATGACAGCGTGACCCTCCAAATAGAGATCAAGTGGGACAGCTAGTGAGATGTTTCAGTGTGGGAAGATATGACAACATGAAACCAATCCTCAGCTCCCACACAGCAGATGGAGAGAACAGACTCCTGCAGGCTCTACTCTGCCCTCCACATAGGTGCTGTGGCATGCACACACACATGCATATGTGGCATATGTGCCCAGCACAGATTTGTGGCATACATCTTCATATGGGTATAAGAAGACACATTATATTAGGGTTTTATGGTCAGAGTTGATGGGGCGATAGACTAGGTCTCTACCTCTATATGTGGTATCCTTCAGTCAACCAGCTGGACCTCTTTCTATCCACGTACTAAATTCCCCACGTTTCCACAGGACCTAGCTGGTTGTTTCCAGTCTCACCATAGAGGAAGGAGCTACCAGGGGATCACAAGGAGACACCAGTCTTCACAAATACATACCTATATTTACATAAGTTAATCTAAAATCATTTATTTCACACTTAAATATAATTATTACCCTAAGCTCCAAACCTAGGAACTCTGAAGTGAAATCCATAGAGACACATTCCTCTTTTCTTTATTCTGTTATCTACTGTGCCTGGTTTTTTTTTTTCCAGGACCTGAACTTTCCAAAAAAGATCCGACTAATTCTTTTTTTAAAAATTCCTGGTTCTGATGGGTGATGGTGTCTTAGGCCGTTAAACCCAGCAGTAGGGAGGCAGAGGCAGGTGATCTCTATGAGTTTAAAATCAGCCTGGTCTATAGAACAAGTTCTAGGGCAGCCAAGGATACACAGAGAAGGCCTGTCTCAAAAAACTGAAACCCAAACCAAAACCAAAAGATAAACAAACAAACAAAAAGCCCTGGTTCTAGTGGACTTCATGTCAGTAAACCCTAAAGATGAATTCATAGTTTGAAGAGAATCACAAAGGGAACAGATCAAAAATCAGAAAACGAGGACTCTCCAGAGAAGGAGTTCAGAGAGGCAGTGATCCTTACACATATACTCTAGGTGAGGATGGATAAGGGACACCGAGTCAGACAACCAGACACCTGAGCAGAGAAATCCTAAGAGGAAACAACTCACTCTGAGTGAATTGAAGTCATGTTGCTTATGTCTGCAAATGGGGGTGAGCACACCCCAACTCATACACCAAAGCTAAGTGATGACCATACCCATGTATTATTGGTGCTTTTTCTCAATTGCCTTCTAGCCTCCCTTTTAACCTTCTGGCAACTGTCCACCACCGCCCGTAGGACCACTGTGTCAGTGCCACCCCTAGTGTCTGAAGGAGATGACGTCCTGTTCCTTGTCCGCAATCTGCCAAAGGACATTAAATCCTTAGCCTGGTTCAAAGGGCAAGGAAACACAACCAAAAAAATTGCAACATATACACGGCACAACGATTTAAGTAGGCGAGGTCTTGCGTACAGCAATAGAGAGACAATATATCACAACGGATCTATGCTGTTTGAGAAGGTCACCCTGAAGGACTCAGGATCCTATACCCTACAAACCTATAATAGACATGGAAAAAATGTATCAACAACATCTGTGATCCTCAATGTTAAAGGTAAGTGATTCACTGTAAATCTGTGACCTAGTTTGAACAATGGACACAGCTTCTCAGGACATAAAGCCTCATCTTAGACAAATATTAAATACCCAACTTAGGAGGATCTCTCTCTTCCCTTCTAGCTTACCTTTGGAAGTGTGGGCGCCTTTCTACCTCTTCACAGCCCAGGATTGAATCAGTGCCACCCAGCGTTGCTGAAGGGAGAAGTGTTCTTCTACTTGTTCGCAATCTCCCAGAGCGTGTTACAGCCTTTCTCTGGTTTAAAGTAGAGAAAGACTTAAAGAAAAGCCTTCTGGCTTTCCACTATTTTCCATTCGAAAAACCAACTTTTTGGGGGCCTGCATACAGTGGCAGGGAAACGGTCAACAATGATGGGTCCCTGCTGCTTCACAGTGTCAGTCAGAAAGACCGTGGACTGTACATACTGCGAATTGTGAAAGCAGATGATGAAGATGAAGAAGCAAAAGTGCAACTCCAGGTGGACAGTAAGTGATTCTCTGTGAGTTTTCAGGGCTGGGTGGGGCTTAGACACACGGGACTGCCATGGCGAACTTAGCCTCCCTTCCCTCTTACACTGTGTCCTTGGGTGGAGGTTTAAGCACTTAGTGTAGAGACAAATGACCATAGACCAGCTTCCATCTTCTTACTCTGTCTGTGTCCATGAAATCCTTGAGGTAAAGCAACTCAGCTTAATGTGTCTGATTCAGCCCTCAGTCTACTGGGGCTCCAGACCAGGGAGCCCTGGGTCCTGTCGTCTTTCCACGGCTAGACTAAAGTGCCCCAGGGGACCATTTTCTATTACAATACTCTTATATCCTCTAGAACCTGATAAGAAACAACAGTTTTAGAACATCTGTGTCTAATGGGGTATTTATTATCTCCAAATTAAGAGAGTCAGTAACAAAATACAGGACCTGGTAGAGACGATGGAGGAGTGCTTCCAACTGGCTTGCCCTTCAGGAGTCCTAGCCCAGAGCTTGAACTGCCTGCAATGGTCTGAATCATTTTGCCTCAATCCGCAATTAAAAATGTACTATAGATTGCCCACAGCGCAATCTGGTGGTAGCATACTCAACTGAGGCCTTGTCTTGTAAGATGACTGCTAAGTTGTGTCAAATTGATAAAAACCCATCCAGCCTAATTCCTAAGCCTTTTTAAAATTTTGTTTTCTTAATATTTTTTAATACAAACTTTTCTCAGTTTACATAGCTATCCCTGTTACCATTCCTTCCCCTCCTATTGCTACCCTTACTTTTCCCCCAACACACCCCCCCCCATCCAACTCTCAAAAAGTGTAAGGTTTCCCATGGGGAGTCAACAATGTCTGACACTTCACTTCAAGGTATGAACAAGGTCCTCCCCACTATATTGAAGCTGAGCAAGATATGCGTACAAAAGAATGTGTTCCCAGAAGCCAGTTCAAACACTACGGATAAAACCTGGTCCCACTGCCAGTGGCCCCACAGACAGCACAAGCCCCACAACTCACCCTCACATTCAGTGGGTCTGATTTGGTCCTATGCAAGTTACACTGCTATCAGTCCAGAGTCAGTGAGCTCTCACTACTTCAGGTCAGTTGTTTCTGTGGGTATCACCATATGATCTTGACCCCTTTGTTCATATTATCAGTCCTGCCTCTCTTGGGCTGGTCTCAGATAACTCAGCCCAGTGCTTTGCTGTAGATCTCTGTATCGGCTTCTATCCGTTGCTGGTTGAAGGTTCTATGATGACAATTAAGATAGTCATCAATCTGTTTATGGGGGAAGGCCAGTTTAGGAATCCTCTCCACTTTTGCTTATGGGGTCATCTTTGAGGATTCCTGGGAATTTCACTAGTGCTGTTTTTGATAGCCTTTTATTGGCTCCATCAATCAAGATATCTCTTTCCTTTCCCTCACTGTCCTTCCCCCTTCTTGATCATCCCATTCCCTCATGTTCCCCTCCTTCCTGCCCTTCTTCCATCCCTTTTTCTTTCCACGCTTCCTTCTTCCCCCTCCTTATTTTCTCATATCACTGATTTTTATTGAGCTCTACATTTTTCTCTGGTCCTCTCCCTGCCTCCCTCCTATCCTTCAACCTTCCCCCAAGGTCTCCATACTCCCAATTTACTCAGGAGAGCTTGTTTTTTGTTTACTTCCCATGTAGATTAGATCTGTGTATGTCTCTCTTAGGGTCCTCATTGTCTAGGTTTTCTGGGATTGTGATTTGTGGGCTGGTTTCTTTGTTTTATGTTTAAAAATCTCTTATGAGTGAGAACATGTGAAAATTGTCTTTCTGGGTCTAGGTTACCTAACTCAAAACAACGTTTTCTAGCTCATCCATTTTCCTGCAAAATTCAAGGTGTTGTTATTTTTTTCTGCTGTGTAGTACTCCATTGTGTAAATGTACTACATTTTCCTTATCCATTCTTCGGTCGAGGGACATTTAGGTTGTTTCCAGGTTCTGGCTATGACAAACAAAGCTGCTATGAACATAGTTGAGCACATGTCCTTGTGGCATGATTAAGCATCCTTTGGATATATACCCCAAAGTGGTATTGCTGGGTTTTGAGGAAGGTTGTTCCCCAATTATCTGAGAAATTGGTACACTGACATCCAAAGGGGCTGTACCAGCTTGCACTCCCACCAGCAATGCAGGAGTGTTCCCTTTACCCTACAACCTCTCCAGCATAAGTTGTCATCAGTGTTTTTGATCTTGGTCATTGTTACAGGTATAAGATGGAATCTCAGAATTGTTTTGCTTTGCATTTCTCTGATGACTAAGGATGTTGAACATTTCCTTAAGTGTCTTTCAGCTATTTAGATTCCTCTGTTGAGAGTTCTCTGTTTAGGTCTGTACTCCATTTTTTTATTGGATTATTTGTTCTTTTGATGACCAATTTCTTGAGTTCTTTGTATATTTTGGAGATCAGACCTCTGTCTGATGTGGGGTTAGTGAAAATCTTTTCCCATGCTGTAGGCTGTTGTTTTGTCTTGTTGACCATGTTCTTTGCTTTACAGAAGCTTTTCGGTTTCAGGAGGTTCCATTTATTAATAGTTTATTTCAGTTTCTGTGCTGCTGGGATTATATTTAGGAAGTGGTCTCCTTCTCAGGAGATCTTGTCTGTTTCCCCTTCCCTGGGGAATCCATGTATGTCTCTCTTAGGGTTCTCCTTGTTATCTAGATTCTCTGGGATTGTTAACTGTAGGCTGGTTATCCTTTGCTTTATGTCTAATATCCACTTATGAGTGAGCACATACTGCATTTTTTTTTCTGGGTCTGGCTTACCTCATTCAGAATGGTTTTCTCTAGTTTCATCCATTTGCATGCATATTTCAAGATATCATTGTTTTTACTGCTGAGCAGTACTCCCTGTGTAAATGTACCACATTTGCTTTATCCATTCTTCAGTTGAGGGGCATCTAGGTCTTTTCCAGGTTTTTCCTATTACAAATATTTCAGTGTTGAATATAGCTGAGCAAATATCCTTGTGGTATGAATGTACATTTGTTGGGTATATGCTCAAGAGTGGTATTGCTGGGTCCTTAGGTAAATTGATTCCCAATTTTCTGAGAAAACATCATACTGATTTCCAAAGTGGCTGTACAAATTTGCACTCCCACCAGAAATGGATGAGTGTTCCGCTTACTCTACATCCTCTCCAACATAAGCTATCATTGGTGTATTTGATCTTATTCATTCTAACTGGTGAATGTTATCTCAGAGTCATTTTGATGTGAGTTTCCCTGATGGGTAAGGATGGTGAACTTTTTCTTAAGTGTCTTTTGGGCATTTGCAATTCTTCTTTTGAGAATTCTCTGTTTAGATCTGTACTCCATTTTTGATTGAATTATTTGGTAATTTGATGTCTTGTTTCTTGAGTTCTTTATATATTTTGGAAATCAATTCTCTGTTTGATTTGGGGTTGGTGAAGATCTTTTCCCAAACAGTAGGCTACCATTTTGTCTTAGTGACTGTGTCCTTAGCCTTCCAGAAGTGTCTCAGTTTCAGGAGGTCCCATTTATTCATTGTTGCTCTCACTGTCTGTATTATTGTTGTTATATTTAGGTAGTGGTCTCCTGTGCCCATGTATTCAGGGCTGCTTCCCACTTTCTCTTCAGTGATGATCAGTGGGGCTGGATTTATGCTGAGGTCTTTGATCTGTTTGGACTTAAGTTTTGTGCATAGTGATGGATGTGGCTCTATTTGCATCTATTTTATGTTGATATCCAGTTATGCCAGCCTCACTTGTTGAAGAAGTTTTTTTTTTCATCAAATAGTTTTTGCTTCTTTGTCAAAAATCAGTTATTTATAGGTGTGTGATCAATATCAGGTGTTTGATTCAATTCCATTGTTCCACCTGTCTGTTTTAAATGCTAATATTAAGCTGTTTTCATTACTGTAGGTCTAGAATAGAGCTTGATGTCAGGGATGGTGATGCCTCTGGAAGATCCTTTATTGTAGAGGATTTTTTGGGCTATCTGGGTTTTTTGTTTTTCCATATGAATTTGGGTTCTTTTGAGGTCTGTCTAGAATAGTGTTAGTATTTTGATGGGAACTACATTGAATCTGTAGATTACTTTTGGTAGGATTGCCATTTTTATTATGTTGATTCTACCTATCTAAGAGCAATAAGACATTTCAATTTTCTTTTATCTTCCACAGTTTCTTTCTTCAAAGACTTAATGTTCTTGTCATACAGGTTTTTCTCTTCTTTGGATAGTGTTACCCCAAGATATTTTATGTTATTTGTGGCTATTGTAAATGACAATGTTCCTCTGATTTTTTTTTCTCAGCACCTTTATCATTTGTATATAGGAGGGATACTGATTTTTTTTAGTTGATCTTATATGCTGCTACATTTCTGGAACTGTTTATCAGCAGTAGGATTTCCCTCATCAAATTTTTGTGGTCTCTTATGTATACTATGATATCATCTGCAAATAGCGAAAGATTTTTTTCCAATTTATATCTGGTTTCCTTTTGTTGTCTTATTGTTTTATCTAGAACTTTGAGTACTATATAGAATATGTATGGAGAGAGTGTACATCCTTGTCTTCCTGATTTCAGTGGAATCACCTGAGTTTCTTTCCATTTAGTTTGATGTTGGTTGTCAGCTTGCTGTATATTGTTTTTATTACGTTTAGATATACTCCTTACATCCCTGATCCCTCCAAGGCCTTTATCAGGAATGGATATTTGACTTTGTTGAATGCTTTTTCAGCATCTAATGAGGCAATTAGGATTTTTTCTTTCACTTTATTTATATGGTGGATTATATTGACAGATTTTCATAGGTTGTAACATTTCTGCATCTCTGGGATGAAGCCAACTTGATCATGGTGGATGACTTTTTTGATATGTTCTTGAATTTGTTTTGCCAGTATTTTAGTGAATATTTTTGCATCAAGGTTCATGAGAGAAATTGAACTGTAATTCTCTTTTTTAGTTGCATCTTTTTGTACTTTTGTTACCAGGGTAACTGTCACCTCATAAAAAGAGTTTGA